TCGGAATAAGAATAGATTCTTTCCATTCTTCTGGCAGTTACTTATTCTCTCAGATCTTTTTAACCAACAAATTTATTTTAGCAAATCCAGATTCCCCGTATGCCTTAATTAGTTCCACTAGGAATATTATCGTTCCCTGTTGTTTTATAAGATTTTAATTTTCCAATAGGGTTTTAACTTTGTACACCCACTTACTAGGAATTGATTCTTTCCTATAGGATGTTCTTCCAAGGACCACATCTCATTTTCTTGAAGGGATACCATTTCACTGTCCATAGCTTTCTTCCATTCATCACAATCTTGACTATTGACAGGTTCTAGAAATGTCGTTGGTTCATAATGTTCGAATGACTTTGAGAGAATTGAAAAAATATAGTCATCGAACCTTTTTCGGTGGAATTATTTTCGTTCTATCCCTTAACTTTAAGTGAACGTCCTCTTCATGTTAGTATTTTGGGTCGACTTCTTCCTTGCTTTCTTCTCTTTCAACATTGCTCTCTTCCAATATGATTTTTTTTTCTCCTTCTTCATTAATTCCCAGGACTGAATTATCTTCCAACAATTCATTATCATTGCTCATGGGTATAAGGCGTTGTAAGTCTCTGTTTAATGCCGTATTCCTTAAGAATGTTTCTTACTTCCTTACTATCGAACTCAACAGTTCTTTCATTACATGTCCCTTGACCTTTGGCTCATGGATGAAATGTTTAAGTTTTTCTGGAACCTCCGATTTTAGTTTCATGGTATAGACTTGGTGATACCCACTGAAATCATCTTTGAACAAGACGAAATATCTATTTCCTGAATTAGAATTATCGAAAGACTCATAGACATCTGAATGTATAAGTTCTCCTGAGATTTGAGCTCTAGGACAAGGCTAGTGTCTAGGGAGCAAAATATTTTTGAGGAGGAGTAATCATTGGGTCTGATCGACCTATACCGTCAACGCTCGGCCTCCTCTCCCCTTCTCAGTTCAATCTACCACAGTCAGCCTTGTTTTCTCTAAGCTCTTGTGCTTGACGTTTCTCTTAATGTTCTCTATTTAAATTTTACTTTTAACACATTGTGCTCTTTCTTTTTTTTTATCAATTGTTTTGATTTTCAACTTTTTTTTTTTTGTTCTTTCCTACCTCGTGTTTTAGGCTATACAGGGTTTTCCCAGGCTGGGGGGTAATGATGGGGAATTTAAAATCCTCTCCGGCACCGGGACGCGATCTCATTCTTCTTTATGACAAACCCATGATTTTTTAAGTGCTTTTAAGGCCTCAATATCCTTGTCAGTTAGGTAGAAACATCTACCGTGAAACATAATTTTAAATTTTGCACATTGGATATTGTTCTTATCTTTGCATGTTATAATATTGTTGCAAATATTACACTGCACCATTTTAATTTATTAATGAATAATTACTTAAAATTAAAATGTAAATAAATACCAGGAGATAGTGGTTATTGTGATGGATGCAGTAAACAGTGTCTAATGGTGTAAGGATTAGTAGCTCTTGGAATTCAATTAGATTCACCGCACTTTCTTCAAGTAAATTAGTGTGGAAATCCGACACTTGAACAGTGAATACTAATATTGTTTTATAATAAAGAAAAAAAAAACTGAACTTCATATGAACTTAACTAAAAACAAAAATAAATAAAAACTGAATTGTTGAAGTAAGAGAGTGGTAGTTGTGTCCATACGTTGACGGCTCTGGCCAGACTACGTGATTTATTTCCTTTGTACATGTCTTTTACATTATTTTCAATTCTATTAGTTTCAAAGTCTATTATTTTATTTTTAAGATACTCTGTTTTTTTAATTTTGAGCAATGTAGTCGTTTCATTAGGGCTCGGAAGTGTTTGCAATTGTTTTTGCTAGGATTATCTAGAGCTTTTAATTTAGCAGTTTTTCTTTTTACGCACAGTTTACGCAGTCTTCATCAAAACACTGTTTGTTCTTTTTATTTTCATTTCTCCCAAGACACGAATTATTGACCTCTTTAATATTATCCCTGATCCATAGCTTGTTTATATCATCGGGACCCTCATCAGAAATTTCTAAGGTTTCAAACCTATTTCTAACTTCTACCTCAAATTGATATCTAATTGGTGGATTTTTTATTTTTTCAGAATTTTTTTTTTTCTAATTTTTATAGTCAGTTTTTGTTGAAGTTTTGTGATTGCTAATTCATGATCTAATCCATATTCTGCTCCACGATAAGACCGTACATTAATTATATGACTTTGCCACCTATGTTGTATCAAGACATGATTGATTTGATTTTGCGTTTGTGAATCCGGTGAAGTCCAAGTATATTTATGAATATCCTTATGTTTAAACATAGTACTTTTAGTTATCAGGTTTTTCAAGATAGCAAAATTTATCAGCCGAGTCCCCTTATCATTACTATACTCATGCAAGCTTTTTTTACCGATAGTCGGAAAATATACTTTTTCCCTTCTCACCTTTGCATTCACATCTCCTAGTTTCATATTTCATTTTCAATTTTATCGGTAATTAATCATAAACCCATTTAAGTTAATCTTTAAACTCGTATTGGACTTCATCAATACTGTCTTCGGTTGGACAATGCATATTTATTATCGCAATTTCAAACCAGTGTCCTTAAAATATAGTTGCCAATATCCTATCACTAAAGAATTTTATGTCCTTCAAAGTGGATAGACATTTATTCCTAATTAGAAAGAAACCCATTACCTAAACAATAATTTTTGCTTCTTTCATACCAAACTGTGTACTTCCCTCCTCTTATCAAGCCCTCCCATGGTCTGCAAATCTCTTGTGCCAATATCTATTTCATTCCAATATAATGTCAATGTTCAAATTGTACCCATTAATCTCTTTTGTTACCGATTTTGACCCACCTGCTGAATTCAAACTCCTGGAGTTCCATGTCCCTATACCTAAATCCCTAATTTTCAACTTCTGCCATGAATCCGCTGAAACAATCCCTGTAGACCCAAACAGGGGACTAGTTTATCTCTGGATGTGGAAGCCTGGAGGTCTGCTTTCATTGTTGGTCAGAGTCCTTCGGACTTGGCCTGGGAGGAACTCTCAAGGAATTTCCAACAACCGTCTCCACATCCACCACCTGTGGGACATTCTCCTACTTGGTAATGAGATTCACGTGAGGCCACTGAAGATAAATGGTTGAAATGTTAAATTTCCACCTTTTTCCGTCATCTTATTTATTTAAGTCTTGTCTTTTAGTGGGAAAATTAATAGATCTCATAATATATTTTCTGTTTGATCAACCTCATGTATGTTGGTAACAGTTTTAGCTTAATGAGGAAATCATGAAAAGGTTCATTAGAATGTATCCCTAATGTATTAAATTTGTATCTCTCAAACTTAACAATTTCCTTGGGCTCAAAACAATTAGTAAAAGATTGAACATCAACATACTTGGTTAAAGCTTTTCCCTTTGATTATTTATAGGTTTTAAATATAATAACGCCTTGAGCTCCCAATTGATTGATTGACATATTTTTGTACACTTGCTGATTTATTATTTGCCTTAGTCACAAATTGAGGATAAGCCGTTGGGTTCAATTAAACTCTTTTTTACACTTCTGTTACCTTACCTATTGGAAGTCCTTAATAAAAGTGCCTTGAGGAGATTATTTATATTTCATCTTCATAGGCTCAACTACACCTTCTGATCCAATGTTCTTGATTTAGGATAAAAATGAATATAGTGTTGTGTGACTTATCCTAACTGTGTGGCTGTTCTAATTTACAAAGGTCAGTTGGTCTCCATACCATTTACTGACTTAAGGCTGACCTCTACTTTTTCAATGCTTCACTTGACTAGGATTTCATTGATTTGTAAGAAGTGAATTAATTTTTACTTACCTTAATATACTTCTTCAAACAAATTCACCTCACAGGCTAGTGATTTGTGTTCAGTAGGTAAAATGTCACCAAATAGTATTGCATTTTCAATGAACGGCTTTACTATTCTTAGTAATTCAATAAATCTCAAGAATTTGTTCGAGTCAGTTGCTTTAAAAATATCAATTGGCTTAATTTAGGTCTTTCCTTAAGTCACTTTTTTTACCCAAAATTTCAGTGCTACTGATGAGATAAGAAGAAAGAAATTGTATAGATCCCGTTTTTTTACTTTCACTTATCTATATAGCTTAACTATGTAGTAAAGGAAAGTATTGCGATCATGAAAACTTTCAAATCTCAGCTTTCAAAGGAAAACATGTATTATGTTAAATAACTAATAGTCACACAATCCATAATCAACGGATCATAAAATCCTAATCAACCGTTGATATAATAAATAGGATTTTTATTTTTTTAATGGTATTAATGATTTGTTAGCTGTAAGCTTTAAGCTTTAGCTCAGTTAAAAATGTACTTCAAAAATTTTGTAATAACCCAATATCTGCACAAAATAATTTCTATTCAAATTAGAATGGTAAGTGAAAGTTGTGCGCACCAGATTTTCAAATTGAAGATATGATTGGATTGGATCAGAAGGTGTGGATGGGATTTTTACAAACTTTAATATCTTCAATTTTTTCTTGATATAGAAGTGTTAATAAAGGTATACCAAAAAAAAAATCTAATTAATTCAGTACATTTGTAATATTATCTATGCATTATATGTCTGATTGGATTGAAGTTTTGATTTTTTCTGAATAAACTCTAATTAAAACGTAGACTAAAGTTAAATTCATATTAATAAAGAAGACTTATGCCTTTATGAAATGTAATAACCAAGAGAAAAATCAAAAAACCCTTATGATTTAACAAAATGAATTTCTAAAACGTTTTTTGGACAATCTTTGTGGCAAATATAGTTTTGAATCAGTAAAATCTGTACAACCTATGTATGAATTTGAACTTATCTGGAGTGTTTATAAAAAAAATTTAAATAATCATATTTTGTATATTGTCTGTTTTTATGTAAAAAAGAAGATTTTATTTTTAACTGCTTAGTATAATATTTTTAAAGACATATATTCTTCTTAAGGATGAAATTCGAGGAAGATCACAGAATAAGGGAATGTGAGAGACGGAATAAAAAGAGTCCTCGGGGTCCATCTCCTTCGCATTCAGTGGAAACAGGTCTCAGCTTTTGATTTTTTTTTTTGTTTGTTTTATTTGTTTTTTAGTATATTAAACTTGTATATTAAGTATTAATATTATTTAAACCATTAGTTTATGTGCTGAATTTACTACCATTGACCACAGTTTCAGTTATATTTATTACAATTATTATATATTCATACTATACACTTACATTGCATTGGAATATTAATATTAAATAGAAATATGGTTTTAATTTTAAAAACAAAATTTTTTTCATGAACGGGAAAAAATGAGCGAAGAGAAAAAATTATGGCCTTGTTTAGTGTCCATAAAAGAACTGTAAATAGTGTAAAATTATTTATTAAAAGATTCGCTTCGACACAATTTGCAGGATTGTATTATGGTTAAATGAACAGGATACAAAAAATGTAAAATATTAGCTCAGTCAAATTAGGACAAAAAAAGAAGTTTAGCTTGCAAAAGATCGGGTAATTCAAATCTCTTTTTTATATTGTTAGGTATGCTGTGACTATAAAAAATCCAATTTTCCGCCCTTGAAAGCCTTGTGGGTTCGCTGCAGTGCTCCAAAAACCATTGAAATTTCAAACTTAAGTTTATGCTTAATATCTCCTTTTTAAAGCTATATAGATAAATGGTTATATTTAATCTTAAACAGCTTGAAATTATGTAACATTTTCGTATATAACATTTTTTTTCTAAACCTAACAGGGAAGCGAACTTTCGAACTCTCAAAATGGGTTAAGTTTAAAAAAAAAAAGTGGACAATTAAATTATTGTATTAATATTTGTTTGTTAATACAATAAAAAATTGATATAATCATTTTAGCATTATAACTATGCCATTTATGAGTATTTAATGATGTGGAATAGGATTCTAGATGCCAATGCCAGTGCCGCTTTTCTGTTCATTAAGCGCTTTCTAAGTAACTGCTTCACATATTTAAAAAAAAATAGTTTACAAATAAAAATATATTCTCTAGATGTTTTGTTTATGGAAGTTTTTTGTCATTTTCGGCCATTTATTCACAAAAGATGCTTGATTTTATTGTTTTCTAACTATTCAGCTTTAATAAAAGGCCAGTTATGGCGAAATTAAGCCAAATGCTGAATCTCTGTGTCCGAAAAACTAACTCAAGTCAAAGAAGTCAATTTGCTATGTTTGAACGACATTTTGGGACAGTGTGGCCACTTTTTTTTATAGAGAACATTTTTTTTTTTTTAATAAATAGTTACAAGGAACACAACTATATGCAATTTATTAGGAGAATTTATGAGAATTTATGGAGGGTGCACGGTAGGGGGTTCTGGCCCACCGTGTAACATATTAACATAAAACATCTTCCTACTACCGTCTACCGTTCCAGTGAATTGCTCATTATCTTCAAGAAAAACCTTTAAATTCTCTGAACGATGTTCAAAATAGAGTTACAGATTTCTTCTGTTCAAAACTGAAAGAGTGCTATTACAAAGAAATTGAAATGGGTAAATTTTGAAACCTCGATTATTTGTTTCCTGTTGGGTTTCGAAAATGTTATGTACAAAAATGTTAGATAGTTTCAAGCTGTTTAAGATTGAATATAACCATCTTTTATCTATGTTGCTCTACAAAGGAGATATTTAGCATAAACCAAAAAAAGTTCGAAATTTTAATGGTTTTAGAAACACTGCAACGAACCCACATTGCCGACATTGCAAATATCAACTATAATTATGAAAGGATTAAATTGGCATACTAAATGTATACTAAAAAAATCAATTTTTTATGAGTGTGCGCTAGGGTGCTCCTTACACCAGGAGGAAATTCATAATCTTTTTTGGGGAGCGATTTTGATTTACTCAGTGGGAAAGAATTACTTTAATTTTTAAACTTAATTTTAGAGGTTGCTACACCCATTTAATATTTTTAATAATACAGCTATGAATAAATAATTAAGTCCTATTATAAAGGAAATTTTATTTACAGCAATTGCTGTGTTCTGTATATAATAATAAAAATGAAATTGCTTTTAAATAAAATATGAATTAAACTGTCTTAACACTTTAACGACCAAGAAATTTGAGTAATAACTTAATCCCGATAATTCTAAAAAAAGACGGAGTAAAAAAAGAGTTAAAGTGTTGGAATGAAATATCAATGAAACTGTCTTAAAATAAAATAGAAATAGAAATGGATTAAGTCATCATCCTGATCTTAATAATAAATAATGAAGTTGATCTTAAATCATTTTAAGACTAAATCTAATTTTTAGAGTTCGGATACTTCTTAATGAATTTCTTAACCAACTGTAATAAGATCTGTTTTTGTTCACCTTTTGTATGAAGTTTTTATATTCTTCCCTTATTACAACTCCACATTCAGCAACATCATTTACAACTTTAAGTATACTTCTCATTTTCATGATTCATTTTCTTTCCAGCTAGCTATATCTGTTCGCTAAATCTCTGATGTTATATCTAGAATTCTGAAAAACCTCATACTACTGGAAACTAAATCTTGCTGGTATTTTTTTTCTTTTGTGGTGTCTTCAGTAACATTGTGATTAAAAATTCCTCTGATAGATTACACAAGTTCCTCTGACAGATACCAAAAACATCTGAGGATCTTTTCCATTGTAGACTTAAAAATTTCTTCTTAGACCCTTTCATACTCATTTAAATTTCTCATAAGCTGCAAATCATTTTTGGGTGCAGTTCATGCAGATGGTGCGTGAAACCAGCTGTTAATGTGAACTTTTATAACAAATGAGCTTATGTCCCAAATTCTTGTTTCTTCTTCTTGAGAGAGCTTGAACTGGTCTTTGAATAAATATATCTTTAGAGAGTAAATTGCCTTAGCCATCCATTGGGCTAGATTTCATCCTCCTTCGGCTTAAAAACTCTGTTCATAGTTATGTCATTTTCTGTATGTTTTTAATCTTAACTTGAGACTCTCACAATATTCTACCTTCTTATATATCTTGTTTATTTAGCTCTGATGAAGACCTAAAAAGTGGGTTGAAAAATAAGTTTCAATATATAGCTAATAATAATTGATATTTTTTGACTACCACCCCAAATCATTCCTTACCTCATTATGTACTCCGTCAACTGTTAAATATCCAATTTCTTCGTCACACTTGCCTATAGGTCTAATTTAATAAAACAAACACTTGTAATTTACCATGTCATTAACCAAATTTATTCTGGGACTGACCTGATAAGGGGGACATATTTTATACTGAAGAAGAGGATAAAGAATCCCTGAAATTTCCAAGTCGAAATTAAAAAAAAAAAACTATGAAGTATTTTTTTCTTAAATTATACCCATAGAGAAGGTGTGAGGTGGAAAATAAGAATTTTGCTGGCAATCCCAAAATTAAAACTTTTCTGTACGAAATTTTTGCCTAGGCTGGAACCTTCAAAATTTTTTTAACAACCACGAAAATTGTGATAAATTTAGAACTCTATATGCTATAAGAAATTGTACAAAAACCGACCTTCATAAACAAATCTGAACCAAAGATATAAAATCAAAATGATTAGAAGTTTTTCTTAATTAGAAATTTGTAAATTAAATTAAATTTAAATTTGAAACTTAAAAAGGAATTCAATCTAAAAATTATTGATATGGATCTCCATTCTCTCCAATCTTTCAAAAGACTCTTGAAAAACTAGTTCATCCATAGCTTAATACCTTCTTAGAGTAAAAAGCCCTCCTCAAGACCCCCTCCAGTCTGGTTTCCAATCCCAGTTTTCCACCCAATCTGCTTTGCTGAAAATTAGCCAGGATCTTCATTTCTTCATAGAAAAACAAAAAACAAAAACAAAAAACTATCCTGGTTGTCTTTGATTTTTTGAAAGCTTTTGATTCAGTTAATCACGAAATCCTACTTACCAAACTCAAAAACCTATTTTAGTTCCATTCTTTCTTGTATCAAAGATCCCAAACTGTCATCATTCCCAATTAAACTCCTTCCTTCCCACTCTTACTTACTCACGGTGTTTCTCAGGGATCTTCGCTCTTTCCAAATCTTTTCTCCATCTACATTAACAACCTTCCTGATTCCATCCATCATTTACAATACCATTTAGAATAGAATAGAAAATTGAACTTTATTCTGGGACTAAGTCCCCTTAGAATAACAAGGATGAATTAATACAAAAATAAAATACAAATCTGGCCAAAAACTAACTTATAAACATTCTAACATTATATACTTATTTAAAAAGTAGTATGTAACCACTAAAAAATATATAGACAAAAAATGTATATATAAAGGAACATAAAATCTTCTCAAAATTACTTATTATTTTGATGGCAAAAAGAGAAAAAAAAAGAAAAAAAAAAAAGAAATTACATATCCATATATACATAACTACACAATTTATAGACACTAGGCTATCTAATAGAAAAATAACTTAATATAAAACGTAACAATATCTACAGTAATTTATATAATAATATGCAAACAGTAAGATAAAATAAAATCTCAGGATTACTTGTGGTGTAATGGAAAAAAAGCAACTATATATACATACATACTCATATTGGTACACAGATACACAAAAAGTATATAATATAAACATATATACCCGAAAGAAAAAGCACAACCTGAGGCGAAGAGAAAAACAAATAAATAGTAAGAATAATAGTCAAACTGGGTGGCAAAGATCATTGCTGTTTTATGTTAATACTTAAACAATAGGCACCACCATTTACTTTCACAAATTCAGTTCATAAAATGAAATTTATGGTTGCGAATCGTCTATTTGGGATGTAAGGAGATATTGGAAAAGGAGGTATTTGAAAGTTGACAGGGAAGAGGCATGATGGATGTTATGTATGTGGCAAAGAATTCCAGTAGGAGACGGAGCGGGCTAAGAAGGAACGTTCATAGGTTTTTGTCCTGTGGAATGGAATATAGAGGTCAGAAAGATGGGATCTCGTTTTTATTGAGTGGACTAAAGGTTTAGGCTGGAGAAGAGAGTAGATATAGGAAGGGTGCTGGGAGTTCATCGTTTCGTATAAGAAATTT